TCGTTGAGGAGATATTAACGAAAAACACTGACCAATCAGAGCGCGAGGCGGTCGCGCTCCCCGACCAATCAGAGCGCGAGTATGCCGGTGGAGCGGTCGCGGTAGCGTAGACTACGCGCTGGGCGGCCGCGCTCATACGCTACCGCGGCCGCTCCAACGGTCTACGCGCGCTCTGATTGGTCGGGGTTTTCGCTTAATATCTCCTTAACGAAGCCCCATCCGACATTTTTGCAAAGGAAATTGTTGTTCAGAATCGTCTCAGCTACCCCCCATTTCCGGCTCCTCCCCGAGTTTTGGGACACCCTGTAGATTCAATTTTGTGTGGGCACGAGTATTTTATTTTGCATAAAGATCCGCAGTCCAGCAATGAAAGAAGTTAGAAATCCATGTAACAGAAAGCAAACATAAATGTAAATCGGTACAATAATCGACGTGAAATAGATCGCGTCCCATAAACCAAAGAAAGAAACAAGGTTTCCCCGCAAAGGCTACACCTACTTTACAAGTCTTAGCGCAGAGATTGAGAAATCAGGAGAAGGAGCAAGTGCGCCGACAGAGTACTATATCTTGCCAGATGGCAAAAGTAAAGTAACAAGAAGTTAGCCAAGCATCGCGTTTTATACATTACTCCTAGCTAGAATATTTCTCGGTTCACCTTGTGACACTCTGTATGCACGCCGACGCACACAGAGCCACGATTATCGCTGTAAAGACGTCTACGTATATTTATGACCGAATTAACCCGCGGAAATACCAAGTGCAGGGACGTAAATGTGCTGGTATAAATACACGGCGATGGTTGCGTTAATATATAAAATCGGCTCGCGGCAGAAAAGCCGAGCTTTCTAAGAGGATGGCGGATTCATGGATTGCACCTAGTCGCTCCGTGGATCCGCAAAATGGAGAGAAATTCCTGTGCATCGATTTTATCGGATATCTCGCGTAAAGCTACGCGAGGTACCCTGCGAAACCTCGAAGGATCTTGCTCCACTTTCGAACGCGAACGAGTAGATCTTTTTCTCGACATTATCATCGATGCAATCCTGCGATCGATGTTATCCCGCAATCGAATACCATCTCGTTTGTTTTTCTTTGGCAACACGTTGGACACCGAGCTAGTTGCTTTACGGGCGCGGTTTTCTCTTTGCCAGCGGATGAAAGCGTCTCTGCCTCCGACGCTCCTCACTTGCGCTAGTGGCGAGGTTTGACGGCCGCTTTGACGCTTCGTGTTTCTGTGGCGCCAAGCAGCGCCAAGTCCGGCGCCATCGGCATCGGTGCGTTTGACAGATTAATTAGGTTGCACGCTTTTTAGAATGATGTAGTGTACGGTGTCGAGGGTGAAAAAAAGGTCGGAGAAAGTCCAGAAACACGGATTCCTTTTTTCCTCGTTTCTTTTTTCTTTTCAACAACGAGGGGTAAGATTGGTTTGTTTTTAATGCGATCGCTGCGAGAGGAGCTCGCTTTGAATGGCTGATTGACTCTTGATTGAAGGCTCGATGCTCTGTGATGCGCGGCATCGGTTCCTCTTCTCTATTTGGATTTCGAAATCCAGCCTTCTCCCTTCGCCTGGTCTCTTTTTATGGGCTACCGATTAAACTAGGCTTTAATCGTAATTGGCGTTTATATCGCGCGCTCGCGGGGTCCCGGTTAGAAATGACACGGAAAGGAAATGAATAGCAGGAGACGTAGGAATCCAATGGTACAGGAGAATAGGTAGAACTAGGGAAGAAGCGAAATAACGAAAGGAAGAAACGCGCGAGATGGACGCTCGTCGGAGAAAGAGTATTGTCTGGTCTGCTCGCGGGAAACTGTGCTCGCCAATATTGCGCGGCGCTGATGAAAAGAACGGATCTCGACCAGTCCTCCCTAATACAATAGTGATTCGAGGAAGCCCTTTGCTCCGAACTTACCGTTGGACAGGGAAGTGCGAGGCACGCGTTTACGTTCTTCTCTGTACGTGCTCGGCCTGCTGCTTATCTACTTGGCTCTGATTTCATTTCGATATCCTGCTTTTCCCCTGCGGGGAATCCCCCGCTGCCTACCGCGGCAAATCTCAGAGGAGTTTCCCGGGCAGTTTTCGAATCACGAAATCTCTTTGCGCGTCGCGCCGTCCTCTCCGCGGAATCGGTTCGTTGAATATTGGAATCATTTTTTGTCATCTAGAGTCATCGTCGATATTAGTTTTTCTTGTTTAGACATGAAACACCCGAGTCAACTTGATCTGTACTCGATATAAAATAATTTTTGGGAAAAAGTATCACCGACCTCGGGAACACGTTAAAACTGCACTAGAAAAATGTATGAAATAATTTCTGGTTGATTCGTACGAATACTCGTCAGTTCTAGGGATAATTCAAAGTGTGAAATACATTTTTTATTGCTTTATTAGTTACAGAAATAATTTATATCATTTATTTTTCCTTGGATTGTGTTGAATAATCTTTACGTAGTCGGGGTAAAATTAAACATTTTTTAATTTCTGCTCGAGTTAGTTGAATTGTAATATCGAATGGTGTTTATGTGTACATGTATACGATATATTGGGTAGACCGAAAAGTAATGTCGTTTCTTTTACATTAAATTTAAACTTTCCAATAAATTTCTATCTTTAATTCGTTATATAATCGCTTTCATTGTCAGCAGCCTTTTGTCAACTGTGCAAATTTTCAATGCCAGGAAAATCAATGAGCTGATAAATGATAAACAAGTATTTAAGATGGTAAAAACGACATTATTTTCCAGTCCACCTGATACTATCTACGTGGAAGTACTGTCTGAGAGGGTTTCATGTATTTCTTGAACAAACATAAAACAAGAATATACACGTCGAATTGAGTAACCTGCTCCTTTTCGAAGTCGGTTACAAAATTTACCATAACGAAACCAATTTCGATTACACGAACAATTCTACTCCCTCGTCTGTCTCAGGAATCCAGCGCCGACTCGTCAGCCATACGTGTTCCTTTGCAAAGAATCGACCGTTCATTAGCGCCACGACCCGACGTGGTTACCGCTAACTCACTTTCCTCAACTCCCCAGGAACTTTTGAAAGCCAAGTGGTAAGAACACAACTGAAAGAGGAGACCGTTTTTATAGCTCTACCACATGTACAAACTCTTAAAGGCCGCCGAGTTGCCGACAATTCTCTCATATTCTGCAACCGTTCTCCTCTTTTCTCTAAGTACAGTGAAGTCTCTTTAAATTTCTCTACGATAAATGCACAGATAGCATCTCCACCACTGGACGG